TTTGATATAGTGTTAACCTGTTATTTAAAAAATACGCATCAATTATCTATAAATTCGGGAGATTATAAAAACCTTTTTCAATAACTGTTTATAATTGCGAAAGACAGAAATGTATTCATTTCTCATCCAATTTCTATGTACATTTAATCAAAATTTAATGGATTTGTCCCTGATACAATTGTATCACTGGCCCTGCAATGTTTGTTTAAAAGTTTCAGGTATCTTGCTAACAGACAAACCACATACAACTGAGTGCTACAAATCTGCTGCATAGAAAGTTCTTTTGAAACATACGGTGTATGTGTTTTTTTATAGAGATGCTCTTCTTGCGGAACAGAGCAAGGTATAAGGAAGAAAGTTTCTCTCAATGAAGATTGTGGCGTGCCTTTTCAGAGAAAAGAAAAGGACCTTGATTCGATTAGGAAACTGAGTAATCCAAACCCTACTCATCAACGCGACTTGTTATATAAGCGGGTACGAAAACTTTTTTGAGTTAAGGATTAGGATTTGACATGCATGTTTTCTCATCACATAAAAAAGAAGCTATTGAACGAATCTCAATCTTTATTTTAGGCAGATGTTCTAAATATGCACAATGATTGTGAAGTTGTGGTCTTGACGTTTCACAAGCACGGCAGCGGAGACACAGTTTCCTTTTACGGAACCGAAGGGGCAGGTGTATCTTTTATTGGAAACAAAGAAGATATTCCTACTTCTCCGGGAGGAGAGATCGTCTTAAAATTATTTAGAAAATTTATGGAAGGTATAGTTGAAGTAATATAATTCAATTGAGCTGTTTTCAGTCGGTACACGCTGTTGCTTATTTGGTGTTGCAGTGTACCAAATTACAGTCGAATTAACTTGCCGAACAGTTGCAAGGCATCCCATGCCCTTTGATGACCCAATCATCTTGTTTCAGACTGGCAAACGGCGAATTTCGCCAGCGCTAAAACAACATTTGACAGCCATTCGCCAGAGACTGTGTGTAATTCACCGGTACTTGCAGTCATGACAGACTGAAATTTTTAGTCCAGTCTTGCACTCGGACATTATAGCAAACAAACAAAGCTTGCAAGTATTTGCCCACAACTTAACTTACCTGATGCTTATTGAAGCGTCAACCTTCAATTATTTGCATGCTCTCTTTGCTCATCGATTAATACAGTAGCCGGAGCCTCAGTGGAGCAAAACAGTATTAGCCATACCCAAATTATTATTAGCCATAAGGCCCATAACTTCAAACGGATATCTGAAGGGCTAATGACCATGCAATCATTCATTTGAACATCAAAAATAATAGGTAATTGTCAGCAAATATACATATGCATAATGTGATCTGGATTTTGGTTGTGGTCATTTAAAAGGTGCTAACTAAAACGTTGTTGTATTATGTAGATTACAAACAGAAAAGGTCGCAGGAGGAGGAACAACAACAACAACAACAACAACAACAGCAACAACAACAACAACAACAACAACAACAACAACAACAACAACAACAACAACAACAACAACAACAACAACAACAACAACAACAACAACAACAACAACAACAACAACAACAACAACAATAACAACAACAACAACAACAACAACAACAACAACAACAACAACAACAACAACAACAACAACAACAACAACAACAACAACAACAACAACAACAACAACAACAACAACAACAACAACAACAACAACAACAACAACAACAACAACTACAGCAACAAGAACAGCAGCAACAAGAACAGCAGCAACAAGAACAGCAGCAAGAACAACAACCGCATCACCGACAGCAGCAAGAACAACAGCAACAACACCCGCAACAACAACAACAACAACAACAACAACAACAACAACAACAACAACAACAACAACAACAACAACAACAACAACAACAACAACAACAACAACAACAACGACAGCAACAACAACAACAACAACAGCAACAAGAACAGCAGCAAGAACAACAACCGCATCACCGACAGCAGCAAGAACAACAGCAACAACACCCGCGACAACAACAACCGCAACAACAACAACAACAACAACAACCGCAACAACAACAACCGCAACAACAACAACCGCAACAACGACAACAAGAACAACTGCAACAACTACAGCAACAACAACTACAGCAACAACAAGAACAGCAACGACAACAACCGCAACAACAAAAGAAACAACAACAGCAACAACAGCCAAACCATCATGGAGAAAGGCAGCAACCATTTATGGTTAACTCGAATACGACATCGTTTTCAAACGAAGGTACATTATGACGCAATTTATGTTTATTACTAAGGTCCAGGCACACCGGACGCGATTCGACAACGGGACGCGATTTTTCGAATTTCACTGACCGATAATTTTGATTCTAGTTTAAATTTTCCAAATATTTAGAAGCGGTATATTGGCCACATATCTTTCAAAATTCGCTCTCATTGAGTCATTGGCTGTTTTATTAACATTCAAAAACTAAAAAGTCGCTGGACCTTAAAGCATATGAAGTTTAACATATTTTTGATAATAGGTAAGTGCACGTACAACCCAATTCGTTAAGATCAGGATTTGAAAGTTGAAACACCATATAATAATACATTAGGCGTTGTACAAATACTAATGTGTTTGGCAGAGAAAAGGCCGTTATTCCTACCATTTCTTGTTCGGAACCTCGACTTTTTGTCTCTTTCAGTTTGCATGGCTGCATGATGCACCTCCCCTTTCAGCTGTATTTTTTTGTA